TGGCGATGCACAGGTGTTACTCCTGGTTCTGCACTCAGGAATTACTCCTGGCAGTGCTCAGGGGACCATATGGGATGCTGGGAATCAAACCCAGGTTGGCCGTGTATAAGGCAAATGCCCTACCCGCTGTGCTATCACTCCAGCCCATCTAAGTAGTCTTAATTGAGCACTTTCTGTTTGGATTCTGCCTGATGATGGGAAGAAACTCTAAACACAATGTCTTTGGGGGGACCATGATCCAGAAAGTGTCAGATGGGACAAACGGAGAGATCCCAACACAGATAACAATGAGTGGAAGATGGAAACAGAGTCATTTGACTGGTACAGACAACAGAGAAACTGGAAAGGACACAATTTACAATGGTAGTTATTTTTAAAAGAATAAAAATTTCTTGGGGTAGGTGAGCACTGGACCTGGAGTTGTGTAAATGCTTTGGCTTTCAGCAGAGTCAAAGTTCCACATGAAGAAAATGTTCTGAGGGGCTGGAGCAATTGTACAATGGGTAGGACACTTGCTTTGCATGCAGATGACCTGGGTTCAATCCCCAGAATCCCATACAGTCCCCCACGCTCTGCCAGGAGTGGTTTCTTTTTTTAATGTTTCTAGATCACACTTAGTGATGCTTAGGGGTTAGTCTTGGCTCTGTACTCAGGGATAGCTCCTGGGGACCATATGGGATGCTGGGGATCAAACCCAGGTCAGCCACGTAAAAGGCAAATGCCCTGCGCACTGTACTATTGCTCCAGCCCCTAGGAGTGATTCCTGAGTGCAGAGCCAGGATGCCAAGTGTGACCCTCCCACATCCAAAAAATAAATTTTAAAAAAGGGAAGAAAATTTCCTGAGAAGCAGCTCAGCTAGGATGGGAGAAGGTGAGTTCTGAGAACAGACCAATTTGCCCAACAGGATGATGGAGAAGCAGGTGGAGCAAGGTAAGAGGGGATGTGGCCCTCAGGACTTTGCTTGAGACTCCTCCCACCCTACACAGAAGACTGTGATTCCTTCAGGGCTTGCTGTGGGCACTCACTTCACTTTGGTTATGGGTGCATGCAAAGGCTTTGCCTAAAGAACCAACAGGTGTGTTTCCGTGTCACATGGAAGAGAGCTGGGGCTGTTTTTTATCTGGTCTAGGAACAAACCAGAGTGGCTGGTGCTTCCATTCTGAAAGACTCGGGATGATCTCTGTCCTGAGTCAAGGTCACTGAGGTCTGGTACAGGATCCCTGGAGCTCAGGTAAACTGAGGACTCAGAGCCCAGGGAGACTGTCCAGGTGACCAGTGGACACTGCTCTCATTAAATATGGCAGGCACAGGCTCCAAGTTCTGTCTCTGGCACTTTCACTGGGTCACTGTTACACACTCTTTGGCAAGAGGCTGGAAATCTCCAATACCCCTAATAGAGGGGTGTTGAGCACGAGAGACCCCGGTCTCACCACCAAGGAGAGCTTTCTGGCTCCCGCAGGCCAACCCCTCTTATAGAAGTGTATTGGCAGAAAGACTGATTCTTGGGCACATTGCATTTGTCCTTTGTTTCCTCCCTGGCATGATGGTATTATTATTGATGTCATTAAAAGTGTGTTCATCAGGCCCAGCTGTCAGAGAGTTGCATTTATTTTGTACCCACAAGCCGTTTTGAGGTAAATCTCTCGCTTTAGGGCATTAGCTGATCAATAGAGACATTTATCACCCAGGATTGCTTTCCCACCTCCCGCGGAGAGACTCCAGGTCTTCTGGTACCCTGGGGACAGGATGGGGAGTCCTGTGTCCTGAAGACTTTCTTCCAGAAGAATGTTGCTCTGACAGCCCTCTGCCCTTTCAGGAGGGGCAGCCCGACCCACCCCTGGAAAAGCCATGGGAGAAATGAGGGGCCAGCCTGAGTCCAGGCCCTTCCTTCCTTCCTTCCTTCCTTCCTTCCTTCCTTCCTTCCTTCCTTCCTTCCTTCCTGGGTTCAATCCTTCCTTCCTTCCTTCCTTCCTTCCATCCTTCCTTCCTGGGTTCAATCCTTCCTTCCTTCCTTCCTTCCCCTTCCTTCCTTCCTTCCTTCCCCTCCCTCCCTCCCTCCCTTCCTTCCTTCCTTCCTTCCTTCCTTCCTTCCTTCCTTCCTTCCTTCCTTCCTTCCTTCCTTCCTTCCTTCCTTCCTCTCTCCCTCCCAGCTCTGAACTCAGGAATTACTCCTGTTGGTGCTCAGGGAACCATATGAGATGCCAGGGATTAAATTCAGAGCAGCTGTGTGCAAGGCAAGAGCCCTACCCACTATATTATTTCTCGGGCTCCTTGACCCTGCTGTTTCTTCAGCTCATCCCTGCTGCTTGGTTTCATTCTCATCTTGAACCTCATCTCCCCTTTTGGTGCTTGAGGGTTGACACTCTGGGTCCATCCCGTCAACTTCCCGGTTCCTGCCTGCAGAGACCCTCCCTGTTCCTGCAGAGACCCTCCCCGTTCCTGCCTTTACTGCCATCTAGACTGATTCTTTGTCTTGTTCACGATACTCTTGGCGATGACACTCTTGGCAGATCTGAACTGACACCCCAAGCATGACGTTAGCGGTTTTTTTTCTCTGTGGTGTCTCCTACCCTGCCCCATTCCTGCCCACAACCTCGCCTTCTTCTCCCACTCATTCAAGTTCCACCCTCAGCTGTCTAATCTGATTTACCCAGAGCCCCCCAGCCCAGCCCTTCCAGAGTCTTCTCACCAGCTCCAGACTGAGCTCACTCTCCTTCCGACCCTGTGTTAGTGGAGACCCTGCCCCGTCACCCTGCAGAGCCGCTGCTTCAGTGTTTGGCCCCCTGCTTCTCTCTGGCTCTTTGCTCCCTTGCCCACCCCATTGGCCTGTCCATACTTTCCGAGAAAGCATATATGGAGGGACACACCCCTCTGCTTTGTGTGTGTGTGTGTGTGTGTGTGTGTGTGTATGTGTGTGTGTGTGTGTCACAGTGGAAATGTCTTTATCCTGTCTTCTAGTGTAACGGATGGTTTAATCAAGGTACAGATTTCCACAGTGGAAATTGTTTCTCCCCAGAATTTGCAGAGTGTTGCCTTTATGCACTATTACATCGAAGTTCCCTCTTAGAGGATGGGGTGAGGGGAGAGGAACCAGTTACAGGGTCCCCTGAAGTTAACGCTCTAGAATGCACCTTAACTGTTGGAAAGGGGCTGGGGTAGGCTCTACAGGGATTGAAGCCTCACACCATATGAAGTTCAGGGTCCTTGGCTGGATTTTGTTCGGGCATTCAAGAGAAAGGAATTTTGGGATGACTGGGGACAATCTGAAAATGGGTGGGATATAAAGGAAGCAATCAGCATCCATTGTAGCTCTGTAAGATTGTATGCCTGGGGGGCGGACTGCCTGCCAGTGCTCTGAGGGGTGGGGTTTCATGATTAAGTTGCACTGTCCTCCCGTTGTTCATCGATTTGCTTGAGCGGGCCCAGTAATATCTCCATTGTGAGACTTGTTACTGTGTCTAGCATATCGAATACGTCACTGATAGCTTGCAAGGCTTTGCTGTGCAGGCGAGATACTCTCTGTAGCTTGTTGGGCTCTCTGAGAGGGGTGGAGGAATCGAACCCAGCTTGGTCGGCCACATGCAAGACAAACGCCCTTCCGCTGTGCTAAGTTACTCTGAAATAATTTAGTGAGAATGGCTACATGGACACCAAGCAAATGTGGTTAAATGTTCATTAGATAGCAGGTTTATTTTCTTCTGCTTGTCCTATTTGCTTGAAAAAGCATGTGTTACGAAGTTTACAGATTCCTGCAGATGCCAAGCTGCACACACCTGTCTGGCCATGCTCGGGAGGAGTAGGAAGCCATGGTCTCAAAGGTCACATCCGCACCAGGCACTCAGGAAGGGCAGCCATTGCGTCTGCAAAACAAAGGGAGGTGGTCACCGGTGGCGACACGGATGTGAGCTTGGGAGAATGCTGGGTCCTCCCTGGAGGACACCATGGGTCACTCCCTGGTAGGGTCAGAGTCAGAGTAAACGACTGATGTCACAGTACAGGCAAAATGCTCAGATGCTTGGTGGTTGTCAGCTGGATGCCCTCACGCACACTGGGGCCCTATTAACCTAAAATCACCTCCTTCTCCTTAATTAAATTCAACTGTGACCAACTAAGTTGTCGACAAGAGAGTTTGGGCCATTCAAGGCTCCAACTCCACCCCACCCCCCACCAGCATCTGTCCACCCCCAGGGTCCTGCTCCCCCACTCCACTCACCTCCTTAGCAAACTCATTACAACTATTTTTATTTTCTTATTATACTTTGGGTCGAACTTGAATCAGCTGCATGCAAGGCAAACGCCCAACTCACTGTTCTACTGCTCCAGCCCTCTGCCCCTCTCAGAGAGCCCAGGCAAGCTATCAAGAGTATCTAGTCCACACTGGAAAGCCTGGCAAGCTACCCTTGACATATTTGATATGCCAAAAACAGTAATAAGAAGTCTCACAATTTGTTGTGAGACGTTACTGGTGCCCGCTTGAGCAAACTGATGAACAATGGGAGGACAGTGCTACAGTGCAGTGATACTTTGGGCCACAGACTTACCCTTGTGCTGACTCGTACAGCTTTTTTGCATGTCCCTCAGCTCCACACTCGGAAATGTCTGCGATCCTTGGTCTCCTGTCCCCCTTTTTCTCTTCTCCTTTCCCTCCTCTCTGGTCTTTTTGATTCATTCATTGTCCCTCCCAAGGCACCTGAAGTGCTGAAGTGAGTGCCCTGTCCATTCAGGCATTTGTGCTGAAAACTCCCCCCTTTTTTTTTTTGCTCTGCACTCAGGAATTACCCCCTGGCGGTACTCGGGGGACCATATGGGATGCTGAGAATCGAACTCTGGTTGGCTGCGTGCAGGGCAAACACCCTACCCTCTGGGCTATCACTCCAGCCCCAATGCCCTTTAAAACGCCTGGAGGCTTCCTGCAGGGTTAAATCTCTCCTCAAGTCCAGTTGTTGCCTCAGACATGGGTTTCCTGCCACAGTCGTGTCCATGACCGCTGTGATTCCAGGGAGCTGGACTGTGCCATGTTGCGCCGGCTGGAGAAGCGGATCCTGGTGGACCTGCCCAGCCCTGAGGCCCGGCAGGCCATGATCCATCACTGGCTGCCGCCCGTCAGCAACGGCAGTGCCCTGGAGCTGCGCACTGAGCTCGACTACGACCTGCTGGCCCGGGTAAGCCTCCCACAGGCCCGCGGACCCTGTCCTGCAGAATATCGCTTAGAAGAGGTCCCAGCAGGATAGTACAGTGGGTAGAGTGTTGGCCTCTTGGATGGCTGATCCGGAACCTGCCAGTAGTGATCCCTGAGTGTAGAGCCCGGAGGAAGTCCTGAGCACTGCAGGGTGTAGGACAAACTGCCGCAGGCCACCGGCCCCCAGAGACCCCAGAGAACATGGGGCAAAGAGTGTAGGGTGTAGTAGACGCAGAGGAGCTGTGTGGCACGTGGCCTGCTGTCTTGCAGGGAGCTTGCAAACTCAGCTCAGCTACTACCTCTGTGAGCTGGGGAAAGGGGAGCCCCCAAGGACTGTTGTCACCGCTAAATCAAAGATTTCCCCAAGTGGAGAAGCTCTCGCCCTGGGTCTGGGCCCCCACGGGCACTGAGTGGACACTTGATTGTGGTGCTCTCAGAGGTTGATCCTGGGATCTGGCCTGGTGGGCCCCAGGGGTGAGAGGAGATTGGGGGGTGGTAGACAGTGTGTGTGTGTGTGTGTGTGTGTGTGTGTGAGAGAGAGAGAGAGAGAGAGAGAGAGAGAGAGAGAGAGAGGGAGAGGGGGCGCGGGGGGATTGGTGGACAGTGTGTATGTGGAAGGTGTTAGCCTGGCTCCCACTGGGCTCCATGGCTTACCCAAGCCTGTTGGCAGCCCCACCCCCTCCCCAAGCCTGGGGCCTTTTGAGTGTTCGAGAACGTGGTCACCGTAATAGGCAGCAGCCTTCTGCTGACCCACAGCGGGCTTTGCCTGTTTCAGGAGACTGAGGGCTACTCAGGCTCAGACATTAAGCTAGTCTGCAGGGAGGCAGCCATGCGCCCCGTGCGGAAGATCTTCGACGCCCTGGAAAATCAGCAATCAGGTAAGGTCGGATCCGGTCAGGCAAAAAACAGCCAAAGAAATGTGTGTGCAAGTCCAAAATCTCATCAGCAGAGGGCGCCTTGCACCTGCGGTTGGAAGGCTCCGCTCACAGCACAGGCTGTTTGGTCAAATCATCCCCCTGCCCTGGGCTGGCCTCCTCCTGCTCCTTGGAATTGTGTTTTGAATCCTTGGGGTTGAGTTTGCTCCCAGATGAAAACCTCCTTAAGGCTCAGGCTTCTATTTCTCTGGCACGCCCGCTCTGATGTTGGGTGAAGTCCAGTTGAAGCACTATATAGATATTAAATAATAATCTGAACATCCAATGAAGTCACATTTTTTTTTTGGTCTGAGCTCCAGGGGCCGAGGTCCACATTAAAGAATGTTTCCCCAGCCCTCTCTTAAGTCTTGCCTTTTGCTGCATTAACCATTAAGAGTGCTGCATTATGCATTGTCTTGAGAGAAGGCCTATTAGCATCTCGAGAGCATTGATTCATTCAAGGTCGATGTTTGCGCGGTTACTCTTGTGTTCCCATCTAGAGAGCAGCCATTTGCTTGGGATCCGGCTGGACACAGTGACCACTGCCGACTTCTTGGACGTGCTGGCCCATAGCAAGCCTTCAGCAAAGAATCTGATTCAGAAGTACCTCGCCTGGCAAAAAGAGTTTGAGTCCGTGTAATATTGTCGCAGCCCCCTCCCCCACCCCTCCTGGTTTGTGACTGTAAGAGTGAGGACATCAGCTGGTCTCGGAGAAAGAGTCTGACCCTGCCTGGGAGGCGGGGGCACTGGGACCACTGAACTGCTTTTGGAAATCTGAGCCATTTTCACCGTTGGTGTGAGCCGACTTGGAGACATCAATGACATACACACGTATGGTGTTGTGTGGTGGAGAGTTTTTTCCCGATTCCATAAAACTTGGACAAACACTTTCTTGTCGTGTTCCTGGCTTGTGACCTGCCATGTTCCTTTTGAAGTAAAAGATGGTGCTGGGGGGAGTTGTGTTGGGAATGTCCCAAGTGGTTCTCAACTGGATACTCAGCCTGACCCACCATGGCCCAGCTGTGACAGTTTAAAGGTGGATGGACCAGGATGGAGGCAGGGAAGGGAATAGAATCTGTTTCTCACCAAACCATGCCCCTTCCATCCCATCTGTTTTTGGGCTACACCCAGCAATGCTCAGAGCTTGCTTCTGTCTCTGCGCTCTGGGATCACTACTGAGGGTGCTCGGGGTACCACATGGGGTGCCGGGAACTGAATCCAGGTCAGCAGCGTGCAAGCCAAGCACCCTCCCTGCTGTACAATCTGCTCCAGCCTGCTTCTCATCCTTGACAAAGAAGCTCATCAGCTCTAATCTTGCCCATCATTCCATTTGATCAGCAGCAAAGCCTTATCCAAGTAGCTACACCCCAATCTCATGCCACTGGCTCCACTGGAAAGTCAAATTATTCGAAGTGCTTGTCAAGAATGAGAAGCAGGTTGGAGAGATAGTACAACAGGTAGGGTGCGGTGCACACCCAGGTTCAATCTCCGGTATCTCATGTGGTGAGCCGTCCCCCTGTGGTGCTCGGGGCTTACTCCTGGCTCTGCATTAGGGATCACTTCAGGCAGGCTTCAGGGGACCTGAACCCAAATGCCTCATCCCCACTCTGCCTGCCCCCAGGTAGCTGAGTATTTCTGCCTCGAGCACAGTGCAGGGCTGACATGCACAGCACTTTCTGGGTGGGTGGTTTCAGCTGTGGCCCCTAAGCCCATCTCTCACACCACCCCTTCCTCTTCCCAGCCCCGCAGACATGTCTGGGCTTAGTAGGGGATAAGAGCATCTCAGGCTTCCTGGGGAAGCCCTGCTCTTCCCCTCCTTTTTCTCTCTGCCACAGGTTTAAAGCAAACATCAAGGTCAATGTTTGCGCAGTTACTCTTGTGTTCCCATCTAGAGAGCAGCCATTTGTTTGGGATCCGGCTGGACACAGTGACCACTGCCGACTTCTTGGATGTCCTGGCCCATAGCAAGCCTTCGGCAAAGAATCTGATTCAGAAGTTAAAAGCAGCTTGACGCATCTCCCAGAAACCCACAGCTAACTCTTGGTGACATCGGAAGGCTGCCACTAAATAATGCCACCTCTCATGCCATCGACGGTCCCTGAGACAAAGTGACCGTCCTTCTGCAACTCCACTGTTCCCAACCCTGCGGGGCAGCTGGCTCTGGAAGGGAAACCTTTCCAGGAAGATGACATTTGGAAGGGAGGCTCATTCCATGGGGAGGCTCGTTCCATTCTTTGGAACTGAGCATTCTGGAGGGGTTTTACTTTGAGCAGAATGTTCTCAAATGCCTCTTTAAAATGCCATCTCATAGAAAATTTTGCCAAACTGAAAATATACCTCATGAAGTAAATTTACACGTAATGAAAGGAAAGCCTCTGAAAGGTATTTCTCCCCAGGATGAATCTTGTCGTGAGCATCAGCTGGGATATTTCCGGCTCCGGCTCTGTGGCTGGTTTGCTGTGGGATTCCCCCCTCCCACAGTCTGTGCTTCAGGGTGGGGGTGAGGGGGAGAGCGTTCTGTTGAAAGCCGTCCAGTTTCCATTTCCTGTAGCTATGGGTCACTTTATTTGCTTCTGGCTATCCCTATGTTTTCTGATGTCACTGGATTCTGCTCGGATGGCTGGAAATGAGGTCCTTTTGTATTGAGAACACACCCAGGCCGAGACACTTCAGAGCACCGACACTTTCATGACAGGTTTCTGACCTTTCGCTCACTCCCTGAACCTCACTCCTGCGCAGGGCTCTTTGGTTTTTGCTCTTAGGGTCATTTGCCTCCTGACGACAGTGGGACAGTGGATGAACTTGGAGTTCCATCCCGTGCCTTCTGTCCTGGGGGTTCCGAGGGGAAGATGTGTGGGACAGCTGTAGAGACAGAGGCCTGGCACCTCCTGCCGTTTCCGGCTCTGCCTGTGCTGCTGATCCACCGCCACTGTGCACACTGCAGAGACCCACTCACCTGGCCCACAGATCTCCATGCTCCCGTGTGACCTGGGGATGACCATCTGGGTGGGGCTTGCGGGGCTCCAGTCATTCTGTTAAGCACTTCTCAACAGTTCCCTATTTCCTGACGCTGCCCACAGCCCCTTCCTCTTTCCCCAGGGCCTCCAAGCCCCGATTCTTTTGGGGTGGTTCTGAATTTTTTTTTGCTTTTTGGGTCACACCTGGCAATGCACAGGGGTTACTCCTGACGGTGCTCAGGGGACCATATGGGATGCTGGGAATCGAACCCGGGTTGGCCACGTGCAAGGCAAACGCCCTACCCGCTGTGCTCTCTCTACAGCCCCTGGTTCCAAATTTTGACTGTTTTCTTGCCACTGATTTGTTATCAACATGCCACCCACTTTGCATTTTCCAAATGGTTACACCCTCTTGCCCACCGATGACCCCCAACCTCACTCTCTGCAGGTGCCCCTGGCAGGTTTATGTCTTCATTAGACCTTTACTCCTCTTTGGGGGAGATGGGGGGGTTGGGTGGTTTATAGAGTTACAGACACATGTGGGTATATTTTATGGTTATTTTTACAGTATATGTACACATCTAAATTTATGGGGAGACGGGCAATGTGTTTGAAGAAAATGTAGTCCTACACGTTTTCTAAGCAGCGGCCAGTGTCAAAGCCTACAGAACTCAAGCAAAGGGGTGCAGGAAGTGGAGTTGAGGACAGAAACAGAAGCTGGACACAGCCTTGCTGCATGCCACCCAGCAAGGGACCCCTGACCTCATGCTGCCACATCTGCCACTCCAGAGAACGAGTGAAGTGTCTGGCAATTGAAACCTCCTGAAATTTCTGGAAGCACCTACACTCCATTGGAAGCCTTATGAATTTATTGGAAGGAATTTAGCTGAAATAATCTCAACTTCATTCTTTTATTTATTTTTTTGGGTGGGTTGGAACTTTATCATGCCTGGCAGTGCTCAGAGATCACTCCTGGCTGTGCTTGAGGGATCCTATGGGTTGCTGGGAATCAAACCTGGGTTGCCCACATGCAGGGCAAGTGCCTTAGTCCTGTCTAATTTCTGGCTGCCAACCTTTTTTCCTTACGGTTTTGGGCCCACACCCAGCTGTGCTCAGAGGCTACTCCTGGTGGAACTCAGGGCACCATAGTTGGTGCCAGGGATTGAACCCACCTGCTCTGTGTGAGATGAGCACCCTGCCTGCTCTACTATGGCCCCAGTCCCCCAACTTCATTCTGAATCGCTTATTCCTCCTGGCTCCCCAACATCTCTAGTGGTGGCCCCCATTTCCCGAGTGGGCTTCCCACTAGGGGGTGCTGGAATGTCCAGGGGGATTGGGGGTGGCCGAGTATAGTTCCAGACCCTTTCTCTGTGTTCATTTAAAGATTTCCAGGGAGCGCTCTGTGGCCTTTATTCCTGCAAGGGGGTGCCGTGGTCCCCATAAGTTGGGAACCTCTGTGCCAGTTCATCGTGCATGTGTGTTGTTGCCTGTTTACTCCATTCAAACTCCATCATGGCTGACACGTTCCTCATGGTCGCTGAAGGAGTCAAACACTTCTTTAAAATGGCACAAGAGGGCTAGAGTGATAGTACAGCGGGAAGGGTGTTTGCCTTGCACACAGCCGACCCGGGTTTGATCCCCAGTACCCCATAGGTTCCCCTGTGCCCCATCAGGAGTGATCCCAGAACCAGGAGTAAGCCCTGAGCACCACCAGGTGTGCCCCTGCCCAAATTAGCACAGGCCAGAGACCCCCAAGCTGTGGTCTGCTACACACTGTGTTGCCACTTTCCGTGGCTCTGTGCTCACTGCACAGAGGGGTGGGGGTGAGGATTGTTTAATGCCAGCACCTTCAACTTGGTACAGCTCTGCAGATTTTAGTACCTCTCTCCCCTGCCCCGCTAGGTCAGTTCAATTCTGTAATCAAGTATCCAGTTCTGTTGTCACTTGTGGTTCCCTTGCTGTGCTTCTTTGTATCGATCCCACCCAGGAGATCCTTCTTCAGGCTGTTCACTTGCCTGATATCCCCAGTCCCATCCACGCAGCTGCGGATGGCATGATTTCTTCTTTCTTACAGCTTCAGAGTATTCCATCCTAACCTGTCCACTTCTAGGCTTCAGTTCCCAACCAGAAGACACACCTTCCAGGGAAAGGAGGTACAATCTACCACCCCAGAGTGATATTCAGTAATTATGTTCTCAGGCACATCCGCCGTGGGGCCAACATGAGCTGAGGTGTGAGTGAGGGTGAAAGCTGGCACTGAAGGAGGGTCTGAGACATCGCCCAGATGCTAAACGGCCTTGCTGTTCCCATGCCGCCCGGCTGCCCTAAGAGATATGGTCTGGCACATGGGCCTGAGCGCTGGATTGCATAAAGCCAGAAAAGACCTCGGGCATCAATGCCACCCCCACAGGCTTCTTTGAGGTGGCATGTCAGAGAACCCCAGACATGCAAAAATGGTTCTCTGCAAACACCTAGTACGGACATGGGTGCTGCTCCAGGCAGTTTTGGGGAAATGGGCAAGTATGGTGGTCAAGGATCTTCACCACAGGTGCCCAAGGACATTGAATTCCTTACACTAGCCCCTGTGTCCTCTCTCCCTCTCTAAGGCTACAGGAAGGGCGCTCAGGAAGACTGTCCCCAGCTGGGTTCTCCATGCTGCTGGCAGTAGGCAGTGCAGCTGCGTTCGCACTGACATCACTGTGAATGAACACGCCTCCGATGGGCCTGCACTCTTCTGAGACCACATACCAGAACCCACAGCCGAGGTGGCTGGTGATGCCAACGCTCTTTCTCACTGCACAGATAAAGGGGAAAAGGAGGCCTATGAAGAGGTGAGGGGACTTGCCCCAGGTCACAGGGCTAGTCAGGGGCTACCCAGGGCCCTGGCACAGTGCTCTGGGTCACTGCATTCGTCCACCCTCTGGTCTGGCATGGGGCGTGGCCAGCACAACTCTAGGATCTGCAGTGGCGAGAAATGAGGCCACGTCAAGCCACGAGGAGAGGCAGCTGCCGTTTACTGAGCCCCCCGCTCCCCAGCCCAGACCACGCTGATCTCTGAGCAAGCGTCAGCGCCCACAGCTCGTTAACGCCTGCGTGTGCTTCAATAAGGTGAACGCTACAGTGATGTACAATTACATGCGGATCATTCAATGCCCAGGAGTCCTGTAAAACAATTGCGAAGGCCCAGGATTATCACGGTATGCAAATACACTCAGAAAATCATTACCCACTTAGTCCCCTTCATTTGGGCGGGTTAACACGAGAAGAATAATCCGCACTACAAGACAAGATTTCATTTTACAGCTGCAGTAACCAAGTACATAAAAGCTTGAATCTGTCCCAATAGCGCCTGAAATATTTTTCCCACAGTGTCAGAGACAAAAATAATGAAATCTTGCAAATGTACAGCTAATAGGACCCCGGCGGACACTAACTCCAAAAATGCATGGTCTGTAAGACATTAAAGGCTTGATTTTAGTTTCTGCACTGTTCCTCTTAATAACAATGTCTAATTAAAACATCTGTAAAATACTGATAGTTTTAATTTTACATAAAATTTCCAAAACAACTGTTACCCAGTGTAATAGGTATCTGCAATGAATAGGTTATTAATGGAAATATTATTTTAAATTAAAATCAGGCTCTAAATTTAAATTAGTCACCTCTGGCTAATGAAGAGGAGGAGGGGTCGCCCGTGAGGGAACAACACAGCAGACAATCCAGGGAGCAGCCTCAGTCGAGGCAGAGTCACCCACCACTTGGGACAGTCCATTTGCTGCTTCCGGCTTGTACCCCACTTGGCACAGCTGAAGGGTCCCAAGCCTACAGCCCAATGTCCCCTTTCAGACGTTCTTCTGTGGTCTAAAAAAACTCCATTCGAGGAGGGGAGGGACAGAGGGTGACCTAAGGGAGTCATCCCCCCACCTGCCCCGCCCATCCGGTGGCTATGTCAAAAGGAGCAGTTGAAAGATCCCAGCTCCCACCTCTCTTTGGGCCTCATCGTCATTAAAACAAAAGGGAGGGGCAAGACTTTTTCCCTCTAATCAATGCATGGTGAAAGCCGGTGCGAGTGTGTCTGTCTACACAGGCATGGAGGAGGGGAGGGGTCCATTCACGGTGGACAGATGGCCGGGCAGCAGAGACGGTGTCTCACAGCAGGTGCTGCAGGATGTGGTCCACGGCGTGAGGGAAGCTCTCACAGGTCAGGTAGGGCGGCGGGCTGATCTTCTCTTCATCCGCAGCTCGGTACTTCCCTGCAAGGCAAAGGAAGCTGGTGAACCAAGGCACCTGCAGGAAGACCAAGCAACCACCCCGGGAGCACAGGGGCTACACAGCCCTGCCCGTGCCTGACACAGACTCTGACGCTCAAGGCAGCTCCAGGGAAACAACGCCCTTGGCCCTGGGACCTGCGACAGTGACGGCCTGCACCCCTGAGTGAGGTTCCCTCCGGGTCCAAACAGCCTGAGCATGCAATCCGGGCCTGCATGCTTCACTAACCACACTAGATTCTGTTTCTCAAAGTCACTGGTTTCAGCCTCTCTGGATGAACTGTGACAGGCTGGTCACCACCAAGAAGGCAGGGTCAGCGGAAACCAGCCTGGAGGCATGCGCAAGGCTATTGATGCTTCCTTGTAAAACATCAGTTAGCGTGCCAGGGAAAGAAAGGAAAGAAAAAAAAAAAGGTACGTTTCTTGGAAAAATACACAAGAGCAAAACTCGTCTCAGAGAAGGAGCCTACAGCCTGGGAGACAGCTCCGTGAGCATTACAGGAAACTGAGGAAATGAGTTCAGTCTCCTCCACTATCTGACTTCTCAAGGCCGAGTTTCCATTCCTGAGAGATGCCTGTGCTCCGTCCTCATGAGCTCTCACTTCAGAACGGCACTGCACCGAGGCCAGGGCTGGGCGCTGCCTTTTCGTTCCATCCAGGACAGCGCCTAGATTGCCCAGTGCAGCTGTGTTAAGCTCACGAGCAGTTCTCATGCCCACTTCTCTTAGCTCGAAAGAGTTCTACTCCTCACACAGCATCCATGGGGTGAGAGAAAGGCGGGACCAGCCGACCCCAGCACTAACAGGCCCAAGGAAGCAGCAGCCCTGGCCAGAGTTGGTTAATGTAGAGCTGAGACTGTTCACTGGAGTCCCTGGATGGATCAGGAGGAACTTGTGAAATTCCTTGCTTTCCCGTAGGTATATTTAAGGGTCTGATTCTGGTATGGGAAACAGTTCCTAAACAGAACTGACACAAAAAGGTGGTTATGTTTATAAAATATATATATATATATTAAAAAAGAAGTTACTAAAAAAAAGAAGTTTTAAGTTTTATAAATAGATCATCAACTTACAGTTGGCACAAAAAAAAAAGGTTGCTTTTACAGAGCACTGTAACTCACTGGCTGGAACCACACAGAGGCTAACAATGGCGGACAGAGATAGAGGCTCATCTCCACCTCGGGGGCATGACCCTCCGAAAGCTGGTCTTCCTAGTGTCACAAGCACAGACCCACCCATACTGCTGAGAGCTCAAGTCTACTTATTTATTGTGTGTGTGGGGGGGGGGGGGGGGGGGCAGAAAGAGAAAGTGCTTCTGAGCATTTCTTACATGGTATTTCTTACATGTTAGTCAAGTGTGGTAGATAAATTCTCTTTAACAAATAAAAATGGCCTGGCCATTTCTGCAAAAACTTCTAAACTTTCACTTTTTTGTTGTTGGGTGAAGCGATACTACAGCGGTAGGGCATTTGCCTTGCGCACAGCTGGCCCGGCCGAGCCGGGTTTGATTCCTCCACCTCTCTCGGAGAGCCCGGCAAGCTACTGAGAGTATCTTGCCCGCACGGCAGAGCCTGGAAAGCTACCCGTGACGTATTCAATATGCAAACACAGTAACAACAAGTCTCATGATGGAGACGTTACTGGGCCCGCTCGAGCAAATTGACGAACAATAGGAGGACAGTGCTACAGTGCCGTGCTGCAGTTGTTATGAAGATGTCGTGATTTTACAGTGATTGAGTTTGAGGCACTTTATGTCCCAGCACCAGCCCCCACTGCCCACCATGTAAAGACAAGCCTGTGAGCAGTGAGGATGCTCCTGCTGTCCAGGACACACGTACCGGTCTTTACTAGGATGCCCAGCATGCCGATGCTCTGGGCCCCGCCAACGTCGTCCCTGCAGTCCTGGACAGAGAGAAGCCAGTGAGCTCAGGGCCTGTGACCCGGCCAGAAAAGCCCCAGAGACCTGACACAAAGTTGCGCCGGGAGGAACTTGGTTGACAGGACAGGGGAAAGTGTTAACATGGGCAGGCGGCAGAGCATGAAGAAGGGAGTGTCGGAGGAAGGCCGGCCATGTGGCGCAGCAAGAACTCAAGCAATTGAGCAGGGACACTTCCTCCTAAGACCACAGGACGCCATTCTAGGAAGACAAAGTTTAAGCCCACTGTGAAACGACTCAATAAAATAAAAATAATGTAATTTTAAAAAATCATTTTAAAAAAGAATCTCATAGGGGCGGGAAGGCAGAACAGCGAGGAGGGAGCTTGCCTTCTAAGTGCCTGACTTGGATTCGATCCTCAGCATCCCCTGTGGTCCCCTGAGCACCTGGGCATAGAGTCAGGATAACCCCTGTCATCGCCAGGTGTGACCCCCCAACAAAAAAACTGCCCCCTCAACCCACCGCCAAAAAGAAAACTAAAACCAACAAACCAAAAGCCTCCTATACCCATGGCAGCTTTTTTTTTTACTTTTTGGGTCACACCCAGTGTTGCTTAGGGGTTACTCCTGGCTCTGCACTCAGGAATTACTCCTGGCGGTGCTGAGGTAACATAAGGGATGCCGGAGATTGAACTCAGGTCAGCTGCGTGCAAGGTAAACGCCCTAACCCGTGCTATTGCTCTGGCCCCGCCTGTGGCAGCTTTTGCGGTGAATGATTCAACTGTGGACTGCAAAGGAGCTGAAACCGGAGTTGTCTGTCCTGCAGCTCAGTCACTCTCCAGCTGCCTGTACCTGACAGATGAGACCGAACCACCTCAGCCTCTTCAGATGCACCGTGTGTCTAATGTTCCTCTCACACTTGGGAAAAAACACGTCGATTAGATTTGGGGTTTGCTTCTTGGCAGGGGCACTCCCAGCACGGTGCTCAGGGCTCACTCCTGGTTCTGAGTGAGGCAGAGCTCAGGGGACCATATGTGGTGCCGAGGGGGCAAATCTGGATTGGATGCGGGCAAGGACAGTGCCCCACTGGCTGCCGTCCACGGTACCCCTGCCGTGCACAGGGTGGAAGCAATCCATATGCTCTGCTGTCTGTGGCTGACTGGGAAGTTCTTCCACAAGACACACATGAAGGGAGAAAAAAAAAATATTGAGAGGATTCTTTCGGAACGAGCTGTTCCCCGCATGAAGAATACTCAAAAAAAAAATTACAAACTTTGGAGCAGCTGGCTCCAAGCACAGCATCAAGCATGTCTTTAACTGACTTGCCTGGATGGGTCTGCTGAACTGTGTATGGTGCCTCGCGCTGCGAAGAAGGTCAAAACCAATCAGAATTCCCACACGCCTACTGGCTGGCCTGCTCTGCAGGGAGCTCCTGTGTGCGCTTACCCTGCACCCTTGAGCTCAGGACCTGCCCGGGTTCTCCTACTCACGTCTCCTATCATGACAGCCTCCTCGGGCGCAAAGCCGGTGCCCCGCAGCGCTTCCAGGAAGAACGTCTTCTCTGGTTTCCCCACCACGGTGGCCTGGGTGTCGGTGGCATACTCTAAGGCCGTGACAAAGGGTCCAGGCCCCAGGGCCAAGCCATCTTTCCGTTTGTAGTACCTGGCCTTGTGGATGGCGATCAGCGGCGCCCCGTCCAGGAGTAAGCTAGAGAGACAGAGAACACGGGATCGGGTGCGAGCCAGGCGCTCACTCGCGACTGCCGGAGAACGTCGGCCTTGCAGAGCAGTTTCATTCACATTCACAGAAACAAACAGTTTCTTATTAACTTTTAATGACTTGCTGTCTTCTAATGAATTCACTAGAACTGCTGGGAATTACACTCAGATACGCTAAAGAAAGGTGATAGATTATTAAATTTGGGATTGCTTCAACCTTTTACCTTTAGTGGTTTCAGACACTTTACCCAAATCACCGGGGGAAAAGGAATTAAGAGAAGTAAAGCTAAATAAGACACTCAAGGGAAGAAGCTTAACTTAATGAGACAAGTTGTTTCAACCTTCCCTAATGGTAAGCAGGAGGCTCTTAGCCATTCACAACCGCGCACTACTACTGTTTCGGAGGCAGACTCTGCTACCTGCCGAAATACCTGATTCCCTGTGTCCTAGACTCCATACTAGAGGCGTCTTTCTAATTCAAAAATTACACAGAACATTTTACAAACAGTTTTTTTTTTTTTTTTTTTTTGCCAGTACTCAGCTTTCGATGACTTCTGATGTCACTTCTCAGATCAGGCCATCACACCCTCCGCCCCACAAGAAAATACCAACAAGCTTTGAGGAACAGACCTGACCGTGAAGAGCCTCTCCCTTTCTTCCTGATATTGGGCAAATATTCTCCTGCCCAAAGGAATGGAAGTGTTTCACCCAGTCCACTACCATTCAAACTACATGCAGCTAAAGCTCTTCATTAGGAATTCAGGCCAAACATACGACCACATTAAAAAAAAAAAAAACACCCAAAAACCCCAACAAAACCCAAAACCACACCGCCACCATATCACGCCCATGCCCCCACACTCCCCCAACACCTACCATCCACCCCAGCAGCTGTCGTGGGTCACAGGGTAGAAACACAGATCTACTGTCACCCAGCAGGACACGGGGGCATGGCACAGTCCTGCAACTGCTCTCTCTTATCCAATGTTACACTGACCTCACCCGCTGAACTCACTTTAAGTCACTGACTTCGTTAAAAATATTTAGTATGTTCACCGAGGAAGAAATCATCCCGTCTTACCCTTCACAATTCCGAGTAATTAAGCACTCGGCTAGGAAACTGTTAAGTTACTCTTGTCAGTGGGCGGGGGATTGCCTTCCTGAGGGAGATGCAGAATTCAGACAGTTGTGATTAAATATTTTATTAAGTGAAAAACCAGTCCTGGATGATTACAGGGCCTGGCTGTTAGTTACTACAAATTGCTCACAGAACAGGGCAGAGCCTTCACATTCATTCGCTAATATTCATACCAACTTCTTCCTTAAAGCTGATCCTGAAATCCAACTGCTAAGAGCCCCGATGAAGCCACTAGAGTGGCCTTGAGGAACCACAGCGAGAGCAATGAGATAATAACGGATGATTTATCTATCGCCCCTCCTGTCACCCAGCCCCCAAGCCCATTTATTTGCTGCTCTACCACGGAACTGGAATTCTTTATGCAACAGACCTCAAAATTGCTTTCCACTTATACAGCTAAACTAAAAACTCATTTGATTTGCTTTGTTAATATTTTATTATATATTAACTGAGGAAAAGACTTATCGGCTTGACTGATGTGTATACTTAATTCCCAAGCAGTACTTCAGTGCGTTCCCTGGAAGGGCTGAAACCGGGGGTGTCTCTACGTGTCTCTAAGTGGGGACGGGGCGCTGCGAGGCTGGGGGAGCAAGCGTTGCGCAGGGAAGTGGTTTCTGCTCCCAGAGCTCTTCTCTCCCCCGCTCAGCTGGACGGAGCCTCTGAAGAGCCAAGGATGGGTGGAAAGGCAAAACATCTTCTAGGACACAGATGAAAATACCTTTTATAGTTAAACATGTAAAACTTATTTAAAAAAACATCCCAGCACGCAAGTGTTTTTATATTTATTGAAAGAAAAAATAAAAAAGACAATGTTGTTCTCATTACTAGAAATAAAGTATCAGCTTGAATCTGAGAACTTCCAGGGAACATCTTAATCACAGGCCTACTGAGGCTGTGCAAGGAGCAGGGGAGATGAGAGCAGGAAGGAGGCGCAGCGTAAAGACCTGCAGCTCTTGATGCCATGGAGTCTCCCCGCTGGGGGATTGGGGCCACTGTACAAAACTTTTAGGCAGAGTGCTACGAAAAACACCAAAGGTCTCAAGACCTCCAAGAGTCGCACAGAGGCAGTACAGTGATAAGGAGGAGGCCGTGCACATGGTCAGCTGCCCCCAGAGCTGCCAGGAGTGACCCCTGAGCACTGCGAGGTGTGATCCCGAGCCCTCTTTCCCTTGCAAAAATAAATCTTAAGGAAGGTGCCGTTTTATTATGAATCATTCAGAAATGTTGGCTAAAATCAATCACATCGTCCAGGAGTGTTGCAATTCATGACTTCTGAGAAACCACTCTAGCATTCCTCCAAATACTGTACTGCCTTTCTTTTTTAAAATATATTTTTTTCACTTTTGAACTTTCATGTTTATTAAAAAATTGGTTCTTCCTTTAATTCTTTTCTTTTTCTTATTTTTAATTGAATAACTGTGAGCTCCAGTTACAAAAGGTTCTGTCTGAGTTTCAGTCATACAATGATCAAATACCCATTCTTCCACCAGTTTACATTTTCCATCACCAATGTCCACAGTATCCCCTCCGCCCCCTGCATCTATGGCAGACAATTTCCCTCTTACTCTCTCTCTACTTATGGGTATTATGGTTTGCAATACAGATACTGAGAGGCCATCATGTTTGGTCCTTTATGTACTGCCTTTCTAAACAGATTTCCTGTTTCTGCAAGTGCTCAGCTTTCACCACTTCTGCTGGGGATGGTGCACGGAAATGCAATTACCCGGCAGTGGAATGTCCAGACACGGCTTGTATGCTGAACACCACACTGCTCAGTGTTCCTCTTGCCACCCCACGACCACCCCCAACCAAAGCATGTCCCCCAATACCCCATCTCAACAAACTCACCCAGTTGCTAAAGCCCCACTTAACTTCTCTCACTCTCCCATATCCCAACTCATTAGCTTAGTTGGAGACTTCCAATTCCAAAATAAAAGCAAAAAGCATATCCCCAAATGGTCTCACGGAGTTCTGAAATGCTTCCCAACCCGGTCCCCCGAGCTTTCTGCTCCTGCCCTAGGACAGAGTTAGGAAGTACACAGATGGGGCTTGGGCCCTTCCCTGTTTGTGGCCCTTTAGTAACTTCTTGGTGGAAAGGGCGTGAAAGACAAGGCTGTCCTTCTACTTTGCTAAGTCAAATCACCTGTACTATCTACAAGAGTCACTCCTCAATGCCTAAGAAAAGGCTGCCCCAGTTCCTGCTTCAGCCACGTAAGTGGTGTTTCTGTGTTCCCGTCTCCTGAAACAGGCACATCTGCTCATCCACACCGCAACCCTCTGCTCCTTGGTCAGGTCTCAGCTTAAAGGTTAGCCCATCACAGGACCCTGCCTACCTCCCTACTTAAAAAGGACTACTGGCCCAAACAGCCGCGGCCACCTGCACCGCAAGCTCGAGATCAAGCTTCAAGCCCTGACAACGCATGACCTCCAGCTCTGCCAAAAGGGACCCCTGAACATCAAACCAGAGTAGCCCCTGAGCACCATTGGATGTGACCCGCCTGCCTCCTCCAAATCCAAATTAAAAAGTAAAGCAAATGAGTCAGAAGATGGCTCGGTGATAAAATTCATCCTTGGCAAGGGTGAGGCTCAGGGTTTGATTCCTAGCACAGAAAAAAGAAAAAAAAAAAAGGAAAAAACAATCAAAATTAATGCCTCTGTCCGGCATTCCATCTCCAGGCTACTTCTTCCTTTCTCATCACTTCACATAGTCTGTGACCCCTGCTGGACTGGGTCTGGCCGTCTTTCTCATGACACAGAATCCAATCTCCCCTCTGCCATCAGCTCTCCTCACTAGCATGCCGTACTTCCAAGCCTCCCCCCAACACTTCTTTCAATGTTGGCTAAACAAACCACGGACCAAATCTTCAGATACTCTGGCTGCCCTGTGTAATGTGGGGAGGGACGCCTGAGCGCTGAGCTGGGCTGCACCCCGGCCCCCAGCACTAGTGGGTGTGGTTCAACAATAGCAGTCAGGACACAGTCTTACCAAAATATCACTTATATCCCTATAAAGGTAAAGGTAAAGGCCCTCCCGTTGATCGTTGATTTGCTCGAGCGGGCCCAGTAACGTCTCCATTGGAGACTTTGTTGTTACTGTGTTTGGCATATCGAATACTCTCGGTAGCTTGCCGGGCTCTCCGAGAGTGGCGGAGGAATCGAACTCGGGTCGGCTATGTTGGCCGCTTGTAAGGCGAACACCCTACCCGCTGTGCTATCGCTCCAGCCCTATGTGCTAGCAAATAAGCTGTTAAACACGAAATTTAACAAACTGTCAGTCATAACATCAAACAACATAAAGCTGAATTCATGTAGGAAGATGTTGATGAATTCATACACTGAAAACTATAGAACACGGTCGAGAAGATGTAATAAATAAGATTCAAAGAAATCTAAAGAAATAGAGATCTTTACCTTCATAGGCCTAAAGACTAAATAACAATACTGTCCAGATGAAAACTACCTAAATCCAGAGATTTATCAGAGCATCAAATTCCAGTTAGCTTCTTTTGTGGGAAGTGACAAGATGGACTTCAAAATTCATATGGAAGCATAAAAGAAGCAGAATAGGAAAGATAACCATGAAGATAGTAAAGTTGAAGGTTCGCACTAAAGTTACAAAGACCATAAAGTGTATTGTAATTGTGGAACAGCACATAAGTAGATAAAGAATCCAGAAACAACGATAGACAGTCACATAATTTAAGGCAAAGTCACCACTGCTGGGGGCAGAGGGAGCTTCACAGGCTTGTGCAAACCTGTACGCAGGAAGCCTGGGTCTGACCATTAGCACCAACTGCATGATCTACCACAGTGACCCCCAAGCACCACTTCTGAGTGGTTTGGCCTTAAAA